TGATGAGCTATTGCGGCATAAATGAGCCGAAAACAAACACATTTTTTGTGTTCGAAATATAAACGAGCTGAACACGAACTGAGCTTAGGCTCGCTCACGTTCGGCTCATTTACACCCCTAGCCACAACTGTTGTCGTCCCTGCACCAACCTTCAATCCTGCACCACCGGCCACCACTGTAACCTTCCAATCTCTTTCCTATCACACCCAACCGTAGCCCCAACTCCTCCTTACCTCTTCCATTCCGCTGCTATCTTGCCGGCCCCCCACAAATCACAACATTGCCACCATCATCATCACCCCTTTTGGGATACTACCCTGGTTGTGTATGCTGTCTCTGTGGCGATGTCCTATTTCAATTGATTATTTGTAATTTCCTATTTGAATTTCGACAATAATATTATTCTTAACTCCGGTATCACTCCATGCCATCATTAAGTAGCCCAGAAAAAAAAAAAACAAAAGCGCTAATTGAATAATAAGAATGCCAGTAAGAATACTATGGTAGCATGTAGAAACATTGCTATGGAGTAAAAAATAAATAATCAACCAATTATACTAAAACAGGGAATCCACCCTTCTGCAAGTAATTAGCAGGTTCCATTGAAAGAATCACCATATTTAAAATTCCATAAACCTAAAAATCCTCAAAAGTAAAGTGATTGAAGAAGAAAAATCTCACCAAAACCTACGCCAGGAACGAACCGATAAGATGAGAAAGAAGATCTCCGCCCTGCTTTTGTAGATTAGTTGATGCCGTTGTTCTCACGATGCTTGCGTTGACTTCGGCGATCTACGAGAGTGGCGTTTCGAAGAAGCCCTTCGGTCCTTCACAACCGAAAGCACCAACGAAGGCGATTAAACTTTTTTTCCAAGCAATTCGAGTAAATATTTATGTAAGTCTGAGATGCCAGAGAAAATATTGGATAGTCGAGTCTCAATGAAATCAGGTGTACTGACGGTGAAAAATAAATAAATAAAATTTGTAACACTAGAAAATATTTCTCTCATATTATTCAGGTAATATTGTGTATTATTTAATTATTATTGTATGTTATTAAAATATTTTAATGTGTTATTTTAATATTATTGATATGTTATTGTGTTATTATAACACCTGAAATATTCTCAAACATAATAATACCTGAATAACATACAATAACACCTGAATAACATAGCCCCCGTGTTACCGAACTGACTTTTTATTCTATCACTTCCACGTGATGTGATTTATTGGACTTCGCACGTAACACTATGTGATGCAATATTTTTCCAAGATGCTAATATATTGATAAATGTTATTTTTTTATTTGTATTTTTCAATCAATCAATTAAAATTGTCCGGTTAAGTTCTATTTTTCGATCAAACAATGCATATCTCCATACACATATTAACTAAATTTATTTTAATTTAATAAAAAAAGAGAAATTTTTTTTATAGATAAGGTGGCACATATGTAAAAATTTAAGTTTAGGTGTTTAATATCTAAATACATAAACTTGAGTGGTATTTATGTCAATCTTCCAGAAAAAAATAAATAAATAAAAATTAAACCGCTTCCCGTCAAACGACCTAGCGAGCGACAAAAAGGAAGTTTTCCAAGGCTCTACTTCTTCCTCGTCTACATCGACCCTCCACTTTTATTCTCAATTTGATTTCTCATCATAAGCGTGATTAGAGGAGCTATGCTACCTTCGGGAATCTTGATTTCTGCTCTCTTCTTTCTGTGTTCTATCACGGGTGAGCGATAGACTAATACCTTGTCTTATGCAGCTTGTCATTATGACGATCTTTGATCTAATTATTGATTTTTTTCTCCTTTAATAAAGCTGATGTAATATGTGATATCTGATCTCTGATTGATGAATTGCCATATTTTAATGTTGCTGATTGATGAATTGCCATATTTTAATGTTTCCTTCAACGCCTAATTCTGCAGTTCTATGCGAGTTCATTTGCATCATAATTTTATGTTAGGAGGAATAATTTCTGGAGGATGGTTTAGATTAGTTTCTTTATGTTTATGGATTGGTTGTTCTGGTATAGAAATATGGCCTTAAAGCAACAAATATGAGGCTGCTGAAATGTTAGAGAACTTAGGTCAGATGGGATGGTTAGAATGGAGGCAGGTAGGGTTTCATTGAATGGGAAATTATGGTCAATTGATAATCGTGTTTTGGCCTTTTTAGAGCTCATTGGTCTATCAGTTGCACTGTACTCAAATGTTGTTCTTACGGAGGATTAGTTTGGGTTGTCAGTGAGCAGAGCTGGCTCCTGTTCGGCTCTTTAAGGAGTTCCCGAGTCGAGCTTATTGAGCTGCAAGCTCGAGCTCATAATCAGCCACGTTTATTAAACAAGCTCAAGCTCATCTAGGTTGGGCTCGTTGGCTCATGAGTTTGCTTGACTGGCTAGATTTTGGTCTCATTGATGCTTTCTCTGATGAGCTATTGCGGCATTTCTTCTTTTTCTCGCATAATCAATCACTTAGATGATATTTCCAATGAGTTTTTGTAACACTTCTCCTTCTCTTCCGA